TATATATATATATATATAAGTAAAAAGAATTAATATTTTAATTCATATTCAATTACAATAATTCAAATTTTATATAATATTTATTTTGTATTTTATATGTTATATTGGCTTATATGAATATAATTGTAGAAATATAAAATAAAATTAAAGATTCAGGCATAAGGATTATACTTCATATCAAATATAAGTTTTTTATTTTAACAAAAATCATATAATATATTTTTATCAATATCCATATTGCATTAAATAAAAATTTATATTAAATTTATACAATAATAAAATAAAATTTATTTTTCTAATCATAAATAATATTATTTATTTAACAATATTTACAGAAAATTCAAATTTTTTGTTATTAATTATTAAAATATATGAAATTAATCACAAAAAAATATTGAAAATGATTTTAAATCATAAAAAGTAAATGTTTAGGTTACCTGTGATTACGAAGATATGGACGTGTTTTGAGAGCATTATTCAGCAAACGTAACATAATTGTAAGCACAATATAACGAAGAAAAAATGCTATTGATTAATCTTAATATTTCACTGAAGAAAGAAAATAATTATAAGAATAATGAAGAAAAACGCGCTCAAAGGTGTACTAGGCGTCTAGTAATACAATTCACCGACGTAAATCATAAATCGCTGATACCCCGGATATAACCACGACAAATTCACAATGCAGACGTGCCGACTTTTCTCTAAAATTTCACACATAGTCTAACTGCACTGCACCACTTCTAATACTTCACTCACCTCTAATTCTTTGGTCTCCGCCATCTTCTTAGACGATTTTTTTTGCGAAGCCGTCTTGCTTATATTATTTCCAACTTTCAACAGAAAAATTCTCCTACCCCTTTCTTACTCGAGTTGTTTGTATCGCAACTCGCCTGTATATTTTTCTTACTTTTAAATGCAACTATTGAATAATATTATTTTATGGCGCGAAATTAATTTTTACATTTCAATTTTGAAGTCGCTTTAAAAAATCTAACTTTTCTAAGAAAGCAAAATTCTTGTAAAAATTTTTAGTTCAGTCGTCTGAGATGAAATAATTATCGATATTTGACACTTCGTTCGTTCGAAATGCGAAAAAGGATTTTCCAAGATGGCTGCTTTCGCTTCATTGGCTTGTTCAACTTTAATTTGTATAATTCAATAATTTTGCAATATCAAAATAATTTCATCATCTACTAATATTAGAAAAAGAACAAGTTATTTAAGTTTTTTAAAAGTTATGAATTAAATAGTTCTTGTAACTTTTAATTAAATCTATATAAGTGGAAAAATCTTTGAATGTATTCTGGTTATGTTTCATCTATAAGATTGCAAACATCCAACCAAATCTTTAGCATTACTTTGTAACTAACGTGCAATACATTACAAGATATTATAAAAATATAAAAAACTTATTATGATATATACACTTTTAAAAATATAAAATAAT